ACTGTAGTGTCTTATAAAGGCAAAAGAGTTTATTACATTCAAAGGAATAATTTTTTTATGAATGCATAAATGTGTTGTAAAACGAAAGACTGTTAGCAAGATAAAAACTTCATAACTACGATAAGCCTGTTCTTTTTAAGGACAGATGATACAAACAAACGTTTGTCAAAGAATTTGAAAATAACAACTTGGGACATGTTTAAATGAAAAAAAAAATATAGCTTTTAAATTTTTATTTAAATTTGCACAAAAATGGAATTTAATAGAAAAATATTTGTAAAGATTAATAAGGATGAATTCAGAAGGGCAGACTTTTGAACATCAAAGAAGGTTTACAATATATCTTTATTTTCTAGAAATTTATTATTTGCATCATTTGCAATGAAATTAGGCCAAAAAATATATACCAATCCAAGCATCCATTTTTTGTTTGTATCATCTGTCCTTAAACCCAGAAATTTGAAATTTAAAAAAAAACCGTATGAATACATGTAGATAAATAAAAAATCACAGTTTATACATTTATCGTGCAATACAGATAAATTAACCATCTATTTACATGATTTACTTCTAGAAGTTACAGTCTTTCAATTTTGATTACTGTATGAGGTTGTTAAACAAACGGGTATAAACTATACACTTTACTGTAGTACAGAACATCTTTCTCCAATGAACATTAAGAAAGTTTACTTTACATAAGCATGTCTGTAAACAGTTTCACGGATTTCTTAAGACAAAAGGTCCAAAGGATCATAATTATTTGACACAAGACATAGAATATGTAAAATTGGTCCTCGACCACACTCTTAATTCTAATGCATTAAACAAGATATTAAAAAGAAAACATTTGCAAATCATTTATGAATAGGTTGTAAAAAGATACTTCTACACAAAAAAACTTTAACTGTTATCAACACTTTTTTTTCATCAATGTAATTGAATGTTCAAAGATGAAATTAATTAACTCTACCTAAATTCGAAAAGAATTACATTTTTTAAATTAATAATGAAAAACTTACGAGCACCACAAATGGTTGGATGTCGTCAGGTTACACATCATTTCTTTTTTTTTCGCCTAATTTTAACACTACAGACCTTAGTGATTATCTTATCGAGCAAACCAAATATTTTTTAAAAATTAAATATGAATTATTAATACTGTATTGGTTATCATAAATTAAACAGAGCATCTGCAACTGAAATTAACAAGCTTGAATAACTTAACAGATTGAGACCGGTCAAACTATAAACCAGCAGAAGATTCAGATATTAACATATACAAAAACTTAAGTTTATCATTAACGAATTCTTTTGATTCTTTTCTACTTAAAAATTTTGATTAAAAGTGATAAAAATCATTTAAGGTAAAAATGCTACAGTAAAACTTTTATGAACCGAATGTTGTGAAATCAAGAATCTTGCCTATCACGGTGTAAATTTTAAGTTCAATTGTGTTAAAATATTGTCTATTCCGAATGTGTTCTTATCCTCCCGACTTCTTTGGTACGTTATCCGGATTACACAAGTTTGTTTTTATAGATTTTTATTATAAGGGAATTATTAACTAATATCATATTGATTCATTAAATCATATCCTTAATGTTTATCACAGAGTCTTTAATACATTTTCATCATAAGAAATTGGAGAAACAGTATGCAGATATATACTCTATACTCGATAAAGCTTTAAAACTCGTACATGGAATTTACTTAAATGTCTTTTTTTTTTTTTTTTTTTTGGCAATATGCGCACGGCCCCGCCCTTTTGTATAATATCTGTGTTTTGTTTCCCTCATAAATAAAAACTGATTTATGTTCAAAAATTTTGGATCATGAATGCAAACCCTTGTTCTTACCGCCCATTACTTAAATTAGAAGACCAAACCGGTTTCCCAAGACTTATATACAGCTGTCACGAAACCACATAATGTGCTACTGCTTTGGTTTATGGTCGTTCTCAGTTGACTTGCAAAAAGTGACCCCCTTTTCATAATGTTTATTAAATCGGGACAATTATAGCAGTACAACTTATTGCATTCAATACAAGCACTGTAATGCTAATAGATTCAGTTTTCGTTGAAAGTTTTATGCATCAAGTTATAAAGGAATTATCTTCTGAAAGGTAAGTATAAATCATTAAAAAGGAAAATTTAATTTTATGAAACACATGGTATTATTTTTGATTATGAAAACACACTGTTATAAAGTAGTTAACACTCGATTTTTTTTAAAGCAAACGTATTCTCTTATAAAACATACAGAAACATAGACTCCGTTCAATAATCAAACAGACATGGCTATAATATTACTGCATTTTTTCTCACTGAAAAATGAACACCTAAAAATAATAATTACATTTAATTTAGATGACGCTTTGTTTGTAAACTCTCTATTTCTAAACACCACGTTAAAACAAAAACGTTTCAATTTAAAACCACAAATATTCATTGTCTGAAATACTTTTTCTGGATCTACTAAATATCTTCCTAAGCACTCATTTTATATATTCGTAATGTAAAAAAGGGCATTTAAAAATGCAAAATAGGCAATAATAAAGGTTAGAAAGAAAGAAAATATGTAACAATGGCATCAGTTTTAAAAAAGAGCAATGCAAACTATAAAAACTAAAATAAAATAAGCAGCACTATCAGTAAAATTAAATTTTCATTTAATCGTATAAATAAATGTTAAAAGATATAACCTTTGATCGATGCAACACTGAAAAACTTTTCTTTAAGATTGGCGGTTTTTAAATAATACTAATAAATGTTGGTGTGGGATTGACATCAATAAATATGACAATAGAAAATCAGCATCAAATCTGCCATATATAGTCATGCCATTCGCATTTGCCATAAGTAATGTACATTCTCCACTTGCAATGTACATTTGCCACATGTAATGTACATTTGTCACATGTAACAATACTTCTGCAACAATATGTTTAAATGTAAAATTAGCAATATTCTACATTTTTGTCGAATAAACATAATTTTTTTTTCACAAAGAAGTAAGGTATTTGCAAAGAAATATTCGTAACTCATATGCATGAAACAACTTTTTCTTAAGATGAATTTTTATAAGGTTTGTACCTGGAAAATATTTTAAATCTGAGTCAGAGAGTTTTTCTATTTTTTCTTCGTGAACCGTTTTACTATTCTTTATTATGCAAGGTCAAAGTGCTTCTAAAAGTGTATTAATTTTCTGAATGCAATCATGTAATATTTTTGGATATCTTTTAAGTAAATAAAAAATATGAAGATGACAAACAGAAATAATGCTCAAAGGGGTATTAAAGTAAAACATAATGAGCAGATCATGCACGGATTTCATAAACCATCAGAGTAGGGATCAGGTACCATGGAGGAGCTAGCATCCCCTGCCGACCGGTCATACTCAACCTGCGTCCTTGTCATGATTGAATAATATACAATTATTTAATGCCTGAGCAGTCAATAGACCAGAATATTTTCCCGAGGTGCAGGGAACAGCTCAGTGTGTTCTATAGCCTGAGGGCAATAGAACACACTGAGCTGTTCCCTGCACCGAGGGAAAAAATTTCTGGTCTATTGACTGTTTAGGCATTAAATAATTGTTTTATTACCTAATTTTATTTTCCGAATCCTTTAGTGTTCACAATTGTATATTCAGTACAGAAGGTTCCCGTACCATATTGTAAATGTATACCTAGATATGGTGCATCTTTAATATTAATTAAAGATTGATTGTATAGACTATTGGTTACATTCCTCTCAAAAAATTTTCACTCATATGACTATTGGTTACATTCCTCTCAAAAAATTTTCACTCATATGGAGACGCCACCAGTGGCCACCACTTGCCGGTGGAGAGGGACCTTTTTCATGCCAGCAGTGCACCTACTGCGACACGGGACCTCGGTTGATAGAGGTCTCACCCGAAGGACCGGTCTCAACGACCCACAGTGTATTAATTAAAAGTAACTCTCATTAAATAAAATATCCGACCATTGAAATCACACAATTTTTAAAACCAATGTCGAAAGATCGAATAAGATGATTGTTTACCATGTCTGTGCAGTGTTACAAAACAACTAAATTTGAAACCCGGATCGGTTTTTTCCAAAATACGCTGCCGGTCAATAGAACGTGCAGTCTATTGACCGGTCAATAGATCGCCAGTCAATAGATCGGTTTGAAAAGATAAGAAAAACTGAAAACACATACAGAATAGATGAAAATATTTAATTTATAATAAAACAACAAAATTTATTGGATTAGGTAATAAAAATGATTATTATACTTCTGTTAAAATGTTTCTTATATAAAGTTCAAAAGGTAAAATAACTATCTTTTATAGTCCGTGCATAGCAAAGCTATACCCCGGGGTATAGTTTTTGCTATCCACCCTCGGTAAATTTTCATGCAATTTTTGCCGCCAATTTTGATTTCACGCGATAAATCTATTGACTGATGATGTCATAATGACTTCAGTAGCATTGTGACGTCATCAGGATTTCAGATTATCCTTGCAGTATTATCTTACTCCAAAAAATTCAAACCTCAAAAAAAATTATACACGTACATCAGTATAATAAAACGCTTATCCACTGTTTGTGAGTGGGAAAGCTCTTTTATCAAACGCTTGACAGGAACTATTCCCCTCGGGCAAGCCCTCGGGGAATATTCCCTGTCGCGGGTTTGATAAAAGAGCTATCCCACTCACAACCAGTGGATAAGTGTATAATATCTGCAGACTATTTAGTGTGAAAATAATCGCCTAACAATTTGTATGGGAATTATCAGTTAATGTTCGAATTATTAATCGTTGTGTTTGCTGACAAGGTCATTATAGCAAATTATGAATTATGAAAAATTCGTTACAGAATGAGCTTTAAGTCAGAGTCTTGAAACTTTGAACGGTGAGATAAGACATTATGATATTTCGTTTTAGAGGGACATTATGCCAAATTTGAAATCTTTCATTATTCTAGCATGGTCATACATATAGTTAGGCAGGCGGACTAATTAAAAATAAAGGTTGTGATAATATTTTTTAATGTCCTTTCTTATAAGCCCTCGGGGAATATTCCCTGTCGCGGGTTTGATAAAAGAGCTATCCCACTCACAACCAGTTGATAAGTGTATAATATCTGCAGACTATTTAGTGTGAAAATAATCACCTAACAATTTGTATGGGAATTATCAGTTAATGTTCGAATTATTAATCGTTGTGTTTGCTGACAAGGTCATTATAGCACATTATGAATTTGCAAAATAATGACTGAAAACAAGACTATCAATATCCTTTTTCATCAACTTATTCATATAGCTTTGGGGTCAAAGAAGAACTAAAGGACGTTTGTGTCAAATTAGCAGTTGAAGTAATAGACTAATACTGTTCTTCGTTACGTCGATATGGATGAATTCCTCCGATATCAAACTTTAAGGTATTTGCCGACTCGGCGTTAAACACTTCTATCTTTCGAAAATTTGTGTTCTTCGTCATCATCCTTGCTAAACACCTTCTTATATCTGAGCAACCAATATTTTCAGTTTGGGAAGGCACCACAAGATGAAATCTACCATTCAATCAACCTTAAGTTCACAAGAAGTCTACTGGGACATAAAAAAATGGCAGAACTTTGTTAGTGACCTTTCCAGCTCTTTCGATGACAATCCAATTGATCGAATTGTGCAGGCACATCTTTGCACTGCCTTGCGAAAACTCCTAAAAAGCGAAGCCAAAAAAATTATGTCAGACTTTTTTTGGGAGGGAGGAACTACATCCGTTCAGCTTTTGTTTTCGATATTATACAAGTTTTTATTTGCATAATTATAGCTTTGTATTTTGTAATTTGTGTACATATCCTTCTTTAACAAAACATGATTTATAGAATTCCCGGGGGAAAAATTCGTTATAGAATGAGCTTTAAGTCAGAGTCTTGAAACTTTGAACGGTGAGATAAGACATTATGATATTTCGTTTTAGAGGGACATTATGCCAAATTTGAAATCTTTCGTTATTCTAGCATGGTCATACATGTAGTTAGGCAGGCGGACTAATCAAAAATAAAGGTTGTGATAATATCTTTTAATGTCCTTTCTTATAAGTTAAAAAATACATAAAAACAGAAACAAGAAAAGTAGAAATCCTCTAGTACATGAATACTGTTAGTACTTAATTAATATCATATAAATTTGGATAATTACGGTATATATTGTTTAAAGTCCTTATTGTAAAAAAGTATTTATCGATTTCTAGCTAATCAGTTAGTCCTTATTGTAAAAAAGTATTTATCGATTTCTAGCTAATCAAGCGTATGTAAAATCCATCAAACTGATTAAAATAGTATTAACACCTACATAAAGTGGGCGTGAAAAGTAGTTACCTGCAAAAAAAAAAAAAAAAAAAAATGCTCGACTTTAGACAGCTCTTTTTGTGTTGCCAAACGTAGCATTACTTGATTCATGACCGTGAACCTGTATGCACTAGTGTTTGTTAGGCGTCCGTTGAAGAACTAGTTCGTCACATATTTTGAATAATTAACACTACGTCAAGTGTTACGATGTTCTACAGACAATAAACAAAGCGTGACGACCGAAATAAAACAATTAGGTTTAATTAAGGGTCGTTTTAAATGGTTTAACTGATGTCAACAAAACTTACCGACGCATTCAAAATTAAGCACCAAAAAAGAGCAGTTATTTGTAAGATAAATAAATAATTTATAAATAAAAACTAATTCAACAATTACGACGCTTTTCTGAAAAAAAAATTAAATTTAAATTCCCCTTTGTGATATTTATGTCATATTTAACTTTCCGAATTTAGGAAACATAAAAATCTTAACTAAATCAAAAGCAGTTACCATATTTACACATTCCCCCTGAATTAATGATTGTTAATATAAATGAAAGTGGCATATTTTGTAAAAAATCAAACTATTGGGTAAATGAAAGCCAAATTTAATGTACAGTGTAGCGACTATATATTTCCCACCTTTCTCTTATTTACGAGCGTATTAAAACTGTTAATTCACAGACATACTTTGAAGTTTAATTTTTAATGATTCGAAAGAATGTTCATTTTAATAAAATAACTATTTGTAGATTTTGTGTCATTTTATTAACCACAGAACAAGCCACAGTTCGAAAAAAGACACATTATGAAACGAATGAATAAATTATCCTGTAACACAAATTTACTTTTTTGCAGAAGAGAACACAACTGACAAAAAAAATTTAATAATAGCCTAAAACAGTACGGAAAGCATGGAGAGCGAGTGGGCATTAGCAGGAAATGAAACTCATTTTTCAATAATTGTGGAAACAGAGGAAGGGTTAAGCATACAAGACAGGGTGTTAATCGGAGCAGTGGCGACATTAGTTGTCTTGGTAGTGCTTGCCGTTGTTCTTCGACTTCTGAAACAGCCGTGCAGGGACCGTGTGAACCACATAGAAGAGGAGAAGAAGGATTATGATAAATATTCAACAAAGTAAGTCATTCTTATTGAAAATCAAACATCAAAGGGGGGAGAACTCCCGCGTAGAAAAAATGTTAATCAATTAACACGATCGTGAGACTTGTTCCATATAAACTGTAAATCCCAATTTGGTTATAGAAACATTACATATTAAGACACAACTAAAATAATTTTTGTGGTAGATTTTTCATGCATTTTTTGCCATTTATCATTAAAGCAGAAAAGTCAAATTTCTCTCCCTTTTTAAAGTTAAACTAAAATTTCATTTGACATCCTAAAATTTATCCTTTTTGACTAGTTACACTTCTAAGCAAATTAATAGCATAAGACAAGCTTTCCTTCATTAATAACGGCAATAGAAAACCATTGCCTTCTCCATTTTGAGAAGACAAACCACTTTAATTTTTACCAGTTCTAAAGTAGAAAGAACGTTAACATTGAAAGTTTCAGATATATAGTTAAAATGTAAATTCCTTTGCTTTATTCAATTATGGTGCTTTAGTTGGGAAATAGTCTTCAGATTGTTAATTTATTTCTTATCGAGATAAAGTTTGAAAACAGTCTCAAGTTCACGGTTCGGGAATCTTTAATTTTCTTTAAACTTAAGTTCGGGAAACTTCTTTTTAATACAATTACAGAGTTACTCTACAAGTTAAGAAACATACAAATCAAAGTAAAGTGCCAATCCATTTTATAACCTTCAAGACTTGTATGTACTTTTATTTTCTTTTATGAATGACCTTGAAATAAGGGAAGTTAATAGATGTTTACTAAATGACACTAAGGAATTACAATTGATGTCGCGTGCCGAACCTTGAAGTTAATAGTAGAATGGCTTTTGTTGATAACAAACATACGTTATGCATGTTATAGCTTTAGTATAGTTTTTGTTATGACACGTTATTTATAACATGTCATAATTTGTTAATACAATTGGCTTATGTGTCGAAACAACAACTTATAATTAGAATTCGTATGACTTATAATTAGAATTCGTATGACATTACTTCTGAGTGCATTGTTTAGTCAAAAAAATATGCAGGGTTTCAAAATATACATGAACCATAAAAAATATGTATTACATAGAGCTTATGTATTTTTTGTATTTTTTTGTATTACTCGAACGAACAATTTAAATCAGGCATTCTTATCTGATTTTGTTTTCCTTAATATCTGCATTTTGCAACGCAATAAGTTGAACTAAGAAAATGTGGAATTTATAAGAAATATACTTGAGAAACATCAAAAAAATCTGTTAGGAAAAGTTGAGTCTATCTATGCAATACATATATTGGTAACGGCTGGTGTGAGCGGTCAACAAGTGATGTTTACTTCTTCCTGGCACCTGATCCCATCTGTGGAATTTCCGGAGGTCAATGTCTTATGCCCTTTTCACATATTTCTATCGTTCATAAATTCTGTTTTAGATCGAACACCATTTTCTACTCTTTTAAGGGGGGACCTTTGTCCAAAAAGTCTTTGTGTGAATTTTTCAAAACTTTGACATTTCTTTCCTGACCACTTGCTTTTAATTTTTAGGTATTAAAAACAATACCTTTATATGCTAAATTTTACACAGGAGCAAGTGCAAAAACAGTGTGAAATGCTAAAAATAGATTATTTTCAGACATTATTGTTCTACCCCAAATATGCGCTAAAAAGAACCAAAAATGTCAAATCATATTCAAAATAAACTCTTATTTAAATTATATGACTTGTATCTTTAAAATGGAGGTAAATTCATTGAAATCCATCTAGCATGAAAAATTATAATGGAACACAATGTAAGTATTACCCCATTTTTCTTGTCGTATTTTTTATAATTCCGACATGCATAACAGGTAATATCTTGAAAAGTCTTTGTGTGAAAATGTTGTAATTCATATTTTTTGAAAGAAATGGTTCATCTCTTTATTTTAACAAAGAAAAAAGTATACCTTTATGATAAAATAAACGAGAAATATGACGTTTTCTTGTATTTTTGTACTCTTGTGTCATAAATATTGACCTTTCTGCACTTAAAAAGGGTAGGTAAGCACTGACAAACATCTGAATATAAAACTATTTTGCAAAAAACGGGTATTTTGTTTTGATTAGAAACAATTTAAACAGAGAAATTTTCTTCTTCATTCCATTCATTCTGTTCTCTCCCCCCCCCCCCTTTCATTTCCCCGTATACGTCCAACACCTATTAGAACCTAGGAATGGATTTATACTATAAAATTTACATTTACTATAAATCAATAAGCAAATATACACCTGTATGTGTACATTTTAAAATTTTTTTCTTAGTTTTCTCCAGAAAATCTATTAATGGTAATTATAAAATTAAACATATTTCCCTGATTTAAGCCGCTTTCTTTGCTGAATTTTGTCTCTTTTTGCACTAGAATATTATCGAGGAATATTTTCACAACAGAAATTGCTATGAATTATTAACCAAAGGAAGATCGAGAATTCTAATATTAACAGACTCCATAAGTCAAATAAAACTGTTATTAATGATGAATAAATTTTCTTTTTGTAAATTGTGTACGTTATTAGTTTTCAACAATGTTATGCCTATATCACAGTTGCAAAAGTCAACAGGTAAAAACAAACGTCGCTATTGTGACGTCACATAGCGCTGCCTTGACGTAGAACGACATAGGTCCCCCCTTAACTATTCACTAAAAATCTTTCTATTTTCAGTTCCAGCTTAGAAGACACATCATCCGATGATTCCTGTAGAACTTCTTCTTCCGGTTTTTCGGACTCCTCGGGAAGGACCAGTCAAGTCACACAGCTTTCGTATTGCTCATCTGAATATTCATTAAAATCCGATGATAGACTTATTTCCTTATCTTCATCTTTACCAGATCTTACAGGAAAAAATTCAAAGTGAGTAAAACCTTAAAATCTTTAATAAGGAATGGGTAGTAAATGAGATCATCATCTTTCGTAAAGTAAGTTTTAAATGTTTAACTATTTTTGGTAACATTTTACAGAGGGATTAACTGTACATTTTATCCACATCTTCGAATTTTAAATCATTTATCACAGGTTTATCTCAGTTTTAAGAAGAAGTTTTTTTATATATCAAAAGTTGTTCAAGGAAATAGTGTTTACCTAGATATTGTTTTGTTGTAGAATACATGTGTTATAATCGAATTTTTGACCATCTGCAAGTTGTAATTATTTTTTTGTAGGTCTATCAATATTTCGTCTCCATCAATATTTACCCTCAACACTGAACTTACGACGAAGCTTTCGAGTAATTCTAAACAGTAAGTTATGATTATATTTAATACTAATTTTATACTTGCAATATACACACAAGTATTACAAGCAGCACGGCGACGATATAGTTTAACATATCTGTAATAATTTATAGCTTCAAAAATGTATGGAGCCTTTATAAATAACGTTTCAAAAGTATAATTAAGAATGTGTCTTTAAAGAGTTTCATACATGTTAATGTACTTCTACAAGAATCAATTTAATATTTTCAGTGAGTTTAAGTACTTTACAACTGCTAATTCTGCTTCAATACGCTAGAGCAATACTTTATTTGCTATGTTATGTTTACTTATTTTTTACAGAATTAAATCCAATATAAATGATACGGGGAGAGCAACAAAGTCTGTTTGTAGCATAAAGTCCGAGGAACATCTAGACAATTCATTGTCCAATTCTTTCTTGTAAGTAACACGTCCAAAATTTTGAAGTTTATCTCTCTTTTTGTTTCTAACAAAATATGCTTCTCTTTTTGACTATTTACTTTATTTTAATACTGTATGCATAATTTGTGTTTTGGATGACGTATTATAATTGTTAATACTCGATGTTTTTCAGGTCTTTAGCATCATCTCAATTATTAGATACACATTCTCGGACCTCTAAGAACACAACGGTGGATCATGCGTATGGGAAATATTTACCAAAATTCTATAAGAAAACAGACTTATCAGAAGATGTTCAAAAACAGTCAAAGTACTAGCTGGACTATTTATGATATTGTAATATTTCCAATAAATGTATGTTATAGATACATTTACATGTATATTTTAAGACCGCAGGCGGTTTTGCTGTACACATATACGATTGCATTACTTGTATTTATATGAATATATAAAAACGAAAAATCGGTGAGACAAACGTAAAAAGTGTATCAATATGTTTACTTATTAATGAGCTGTTAGGCAATGTTTTGTGCATAATAATACTTCTGCAAGATGATTAATTGTGAAAGTTTTTCTATTGTAAAATCGTTGAACTTCTTTAATGGCTTTATTTGTAAACATTTTATCACTACAACACTAGAAATATATAATGTATACGTCTAAATGTGTTCTTTCAAATGAATTTTTTTTTCATTTTTATATTCGCAATGCAAAATGTATATATATATATATATATATATATATATATATATATATATATATATATATATATATATATATATAGCACTAAAAATGACCAACGACACGAACAATAAAAATTGTCAAATTTTCGGGACGCCCTGTCCCTTCCTCAGGACAAAGAAAAAAGTTAAAAAGTCATAAGAACAAAGGAAAAAGAGAAACAAAAACAACTAGCACTACTACTAAACTACTAAACACTAGATATTTACATACTAATTACATGTTGAATTGGAAATTTTTAAGAACACTAATAAAGAAAGAAATCCGGACCGCTATGAAATGCGTCCGGTCTATCGGGTATACTCGGGTGAAGTGCGATTTACATAATTGAACGAATTAATTATGCTAATTAATTACGACAATCAGTAAATCGTACATTGTTTCATTCTCTCAAAATGGGGTAACTTTACTTAATAAAGAATAATCAAAGAAAAATCATATAGAAGGGATATTTAAACATATGAATTATGATCAATTATAAATTTTGAAATATTTAAGGACTTATTATCGGGAAAAAATAATTAACAAAGGCGTAAGCAATACATAGTTATGTGGGTTGTTCGAGAGTTGGTAACGCAAATTAACTGTAGAGTTTACACTAAATTGAGAGAATGATCTTGTTTAGTATGATCAGGAATTGGGTCTAGTTTACGTTCATTCTGGTGAAGTCATTCAGTTTGTTAATACCTTTAGGGCGGAATGACTTCAATCTGTGCATCCAGAACTTTTCCTTGCTTTTCCTCTGAGCATCTGTCCATCTTGGGTTATGGTCAATCACCACTACTGTCATGTCCTCCCATTTGTGACCCTCAAGGTTGAAATGTTCCCCAACGGGTTCATTGAGTTTTTTGGTCCTAATGGTCGAACGGTGGTTATTGACTCTCCTGCGGAGATCTCCTGTTTCACCAATATACTGTTTGGAGCAAACTTTGCAACTGATAAGATAAATGCAGTTGTCAGTATGACAGGACAAATTCCCTAGTATTTTGTAGCTGCGGCCTGTAACAGGGCTGTTAAAACTGTCTGTGTCAGTGCTGTGCTTACAAAGAAGACATCTTCTGTCAGAGCAAGTTTTAAAGCCCCCGTTAGGTAATGGTTTGTCCAGTCTGGTTCTTACAACCATGTCCTTTAGGTTCCTTGGGCGTCTGTATGCAGCCAATGGGGGTTCCTTAAAGACCTCTGCCATTCGTTTGTTTGAATGGAGAATTGGTAGGTTCTTTTGAAGGATACCGCTAAGGTTCTTAAGGACGGGATGGTATGTGGTTACCAGAGGGACCCTGTCGCTATTGTCTTTTTCCTTGTAGTGTAATAGGTTTTGCCTGTCATGTTCCGCCATCTCATCAATAGCTGTTTGTACGGTGCGGGCATTGTAGCCTCTTTTGCATAAGTGGGACTTAAGAAGACCACTTTGCTCCTGATATAAGGCAGGGGACGAACAGATGCGTCGAATTCTGGTGGCTAGACCCTTAGGCACTCCCTTAAAAGTGTGTGGGGGATGACAGCTAGTGGGCATAAGATATAGGTGGGCGTCTGTGGGTTTGGTGTGGAGACTGAATTCGATTTCACCATCAATCAGGGTAGATGTAGTATCTAGGAATACGTTTTTCGAATTAGATATGTCTACTGTAAATTTGATCGACTGATGAAAGTTGTTGGCAAACGTAATGAATGCCTCGAGGCTCTCGCGACATTCCACCCACTTCATCTCTATATCGTCAATGAAACGCAACCAGCTATGGGGCCTAAATGGTGCTTGAAGTAACAAGTTGCGTTCCAGTCTGCCCATGAAGACATTGGCATAAGACGGTGCCATTTTCGTACCCATAGCAGTGCCATTAACCTGCAGGTAATGTTCTCCATTAAACATGAAGTTGTTGAACTTGAGAACATGTTCAAGGAGATTAGCAAGGGACTCGGTAGAAGGAATTTGTATGGATCTACTATCCCAGACTTCTCTACAGGCTTCGATACCCTCATCGTGCGGAATATTGGTGTACAAAGAAGTGACGTCCATAGTCACGAGGAGGGTATGATCTGGGAGGCAAGTAGAGGGCGTCTTGTTAATGTAGTTCGTGGTGTCCTTGAGATAGGATGGCAAATTCTCTACGTGTGGACGGAGATGTAAATCAATGAATTCAGAAATTTTCTCCATGGGGTGTCCAATTGCACTGACAATGGGGCGACCTGGCATGCCTTCTTTGTGTATTTTAGGAAGCAGATAGAATTGTCCTGGTCTAGAGTCAATAGGATTTAAGGTCTCATAGACGTTGATACCAATCTCATTTTTCTCAAACATATCGTCAAGAGTTTTGGTAATGGCGGTGGAGAATTCTTTAGTAGGGTCAGAGTCCAGTTTCTTATAGAAACGTTCGTCTGAGAGTTGTCTTTGGGCCTCCGCCATGTAAGTCTCTTTATCCAGTACTACAACTGTAGAGCCTTTGTCTGCTTTCTTGATTACAATGTCATCCCGACTTTTTAATGATTGTAAGGCAGATCTCTCTTCCTTACTCAAATTGTCGGGAGTCTTGTCTGGCATTGAAAGGAGCTTCTCTATGTCTGACTCAACGGCGTCAATATACGACTCAAGCGCGCCGCACTTGCCCGGTGCAGGTTCCCAGTCACTCTTGGGCTTATAGAGTTCTCCATTCAAACAAACGAATGGCAGAGGTCTTTAAGGAACCCCCATTGGCTGCATACAGACGCCCAAGGAACCTAAAGGACATGGTTGTAAGAACCAGACTGGACAACCCATTACCTAACGGGGGCTTTAAAACTTGCTCTGACAGAAGATGTCTTCTTTGTAAGCACAGCACTGACACAGACAGTTTTAACAGCCCTGTTACAGGCCGCAGCTACAAAATACTAGGGAATTTGTCCTGTCATACTGACAACTGCATTTATCTTATCATTGCAAAGTTTGCTCCAAACAGTATATTGGTGAAACAGGAGATCTCCGCAGGAGAGTCAATAACCACCGTTCGACCATTAGGACCAAAAAACTCAATGAACCCGTTGGGGAACATTTCAACCTTGAGGGTCACAAATGGGAGGACATGACAGTAGTGGTGATTGACCATAACCCAAGATGGACAGATGCTCAAAGGAAAAGCAAGGAAAAGTTCTGGATGCACAGATTGAAGTCATTCCGCCCTAATGGTATTAACAAACTGAATGACTTCACCAGAATGAACGTAAACTAGACCCAATTCCTGATCATACTAAACAAGATCATTCTCTCAATTTAGTGTAAACTCTACAGTTAATTTGCGTTACCAACTCTCGAACAACCCACATAACTATGTATTGCTTACGCCTTTGTTAATTATTTTTTCCCGATAATAAGTCCTTAAATATTTCAAAATTTATAATTGATCATAATTCATATGTTTAAATATCCCTGCTATATGATTTTTCTTTGATTATTCTTTATTAAGTAAAGTTACCCCATTTTGAGAGAATGAAACAATGTACGATTTACTGATTGTCGTAATTAATTAGCATAATTAATTCGTTCAATTATGTAAATCGCACTTCACCCGAGTATACCCGATAGACCGGACGCATTTCATAGCGGTCCGGATTTCTTTCTTTATTAGTGTTCTTAAAAATTTCCGATTCAACATGTAATTAGTATGTAAATATCTAGTGTTTAGTAATTTAGTAGTAGTGCTAGTTGTTTTTGTTTCTCTTCTTCCTTTGTTCTTATGACTTTTTAACTTTTTTCTTTGTCCTGAGGAAGGGACAGGGCGTCCCGAAAATTTGACAATTTTTATTGTTCGTCTCGTTGGTCATTTTAGTGCTTTATATAAATTTCCATCCGTGACCTTGTATCTACTTGGTAGATCCGACATTTAGGATATACAGTGTTGTTGGTTTTTTAGTGCTTTATATATATATATATATATATATATATATATATATATATATATATATATATATATATATATATATATATATATATATATTTGCCGTCTCTTAAATAAAGTGGCTATCCATGATGAAAAGTTACATGTATGTAAAGTTAATATTGTTATGAAACTTGTCTTGCAAAGTATTCCAAATAAATACTTAAACCCTTGACACTTTTCATTTTCAGTCACTGCGTTTTCTTTTCTTTGTGCAGAGAAAATGATTTTTAGAGCAAATGAAGGTTTAAAATACTAGATTATTGCCCATTCAACTGCTCAAAACTTCTTACCTTTATATAAAATATATCTGGAAAAATGTTAAAAAGGTCAATAACAAAACACAAATTTATTAGTATTCCATGACAAGGAGCACACGATGGGAATGATCAATCGACAGAGTATACTTACGCCGGCATTCCTCAATGACTCCCAATCCCACTTCTGATGTAGTGCATGTAACAGGTCCACCTTTGCTCTGCTTCTGATTTGTATTGTAGGAATGGACTTTAGAGCATTATATTTGTTCGTTATCTTCATATTTCATATTTTTAACAGAGATAAAAATTGTCCAAAGAATATGCTGTAAAAGTTAAAAACATTTCTGTATATTACTGATCGACAGTCTTCACCAATTCAGGTATCTGCAGCTCACAATTTCTTTGAGGTCCTTCAACGGCATTGTAGTTGATCGTTGTCAACTGAGACTCCAAAACTTTTTTTCTGTCTACACGCTTTGATAACATTGCACTTTCTTCCAACATCAATACAAAAGTTGAAGAGTGAAATATTTATAATTATGTAGATTGTCAACTTTTTGAAATATAAGGTATACATATATAATGTACAAAATATTAGTTAACACAAAAAAAGACAAGACCGAAAAATATTTTTTGAGGCTGGATTGAAGACAATTTTAAAATAATATATACTAGTCAGTTTACTACATTACGTTAAATCATGTGTATAATGATGTATAAAAAGCTTAATTTATGTAAGATCAGCCTATTTGATTTTTCCGATTTTGTATCATTTTGTTTTTCATCATAAAATTAACTTGGCTCGATAAATTTACAAAAAAAAGTTTATATCACACCTTTAGCGCCATTTTAACATATTCTGAAATTTATTTCTTCCCGCAAACCTTAACTGAGTGTGATTTGTCCAAATTTCTTATCTTCTTGAAGAATCAAATAATATATTCCAGGTGTCATTTCTTTTAAGCCCACATGATCCCACCTCTGAATGTTTTGAAAGTCCGTGTTTGCTCCGCTCCTATTTTGTAATGTTTTATGGACTTTTAAGCATGAACATTGTTTGTTATATCTTCATGTATTTCATGTAAGGAAATACAACAGACTTGAGTAAATGTAAAATCAGTTCACTTTTGCTCCTTTTGAAACAGTTTTGAAGAAAAAAAGAGGGCGATTGAATGAAGAATAAACAATTTATCATGCTTACTCTTGTTGTATAGTTTTAAAGGAAAATATTGAAATATTTCGTTCTCCAAGACTAAAGAGAAACAAGGTCAAATTGTCCACTTCTCCCAATCTGTGATGTGATATCAAGTCCCCCCCCCCCCCCAGAAAAGTGCTTGTATAATTTGTCCTACAACCGCTATAATGTGCATGAATTAAAATAAACATCGTTTTTATCATTGAATATGTACCCATTATATATAATTTGGAAAAAAAAAACTTGGAATATCACAATGAAAATTTGTCATACTAAAGTCCGGAAATCAATAGTGTAATTGACATATATTTCCTCAATATCAAATAATTGTATAGTTTGAGTCGTAAGTAATATTTTTTAAATAAAAAAAAAAACAGGACTTTCATTTCATTTAAAATTTCCTGGAAGACCATTTTACATTTTCAATTTCCTTGCTGTTCATGCTGATAGCAAGATGAATTATAGATCAATAAGTGAAGTTCTTTGGATTTTTATTTTAATATCAAGATTCCTCCCTAACTATGCTTACGGTAAGATCTAAAAATGAATGTTCATGCAGTAATGTTCAGTCTGAATTGCACTGTATGTCTAGGGAAAAAAGGGACCTAATATTAACTTTTCGTCAATAGTTTTATCTAAAATCCTTTCGATTTTTTGCTCTGACCCTGTCCCTAATTGAAATATAGGAAATTTCATTTACTTCTTCAAAGTTGGTTACTGTTTAAGTTTAACTGTTCTATACTAATTGCTCCTCCCATATGGCGTATATTCATTACAATAAATCTCCGAAAAAGCTAAAAAAAAAAAACATTCTATTTACAAGGATTTCACACCGACATTTTTTAAAAAGCATTCCTTTAATTTTTCCTTCTGGCTTAATAATTTTTCAATACCTTTTAAGACGACTACAATCCATAAATGCACATTTCATTCACTGAGTCCATTGCATGAAACAAATTGCCCCTGGAACATAAGAATTCGACGCACTTTACTATATTTCACTTACTTTTTTTTTAAATAATTACCTATAAACACCTATTGACACCTGATCCGCGTTTACTCTGTTTGATTTGCTTTGTTTCAGGTGAACTATGAGCTAAGCTAATACCGGTATTCATTGCTTAATATTTTAAGCGTTTTACGTATATGCAAGTTGGTAGAGGTTTCACAAGGTGGCATAATTTGAAAAATAAGAATCGCTTTTCAACATTGCACATCGCACATCTCTAACATTTATTTCAATTTCAGTATGAAATCAATGAATCCAAATGGGTTTTCAAGAATGGTGCCATATTTCTGCCCCCTACATGCAAGATGAATTATGTAGACATGCAAGATAATTATGTCTACATACACGAAAATTATGTTATCATGCAAGATAATTATGTTGACATGCAAGTTACAACTCTTTTTAGATTATTTGATTTTGTTTTGGGTAAAATCCCGTACTGACACCCGTATCTGACATCGTAGATGCAAGATGCAACATGATTATGCAGACATGAGACTTATTTGTTAACATACAATTTATTTATGTCAACATGCGACTTGTTTATGTTAACATGCGACTTGTTTAAGTCGACATGCAATTTATTTATGTCAACATGCGAGTATTTCATGTCGACTTGCAATATATTTATGTTAACATGCCACTAATGTATGTCTACGTGCGACTTATTTATGTTAACATGCGACTTGTTTCAGGCGACATGCAATATATTTATGTCAACATGCAAGTAATTCATGTCAACATGCAAGTAATTCATGTCGACTTGCAATATATTTATATAACATTTTTGAATAAGTTTTCCTAATATATCACAAATGTAATAAGTTTTGCTATAAACCCTGAAAAATGCTGAGTCACACCGGAAACAGTTATGTCAAGCCGGAAACAGTTATGTCACCCCCGACGGAAACAGTTATGTCACCCTTTCGATCACGTTCACGTGTTTTTACGTTACGCATTTTAGTTCGGGTTCGAGATCTTATGACGTCGGTTGCTACGCAAAAGTAAACAACACAGCGTATTTCTGAACGTCAAGAAGGCATTTTTGGATTATTTGTGTAAATTTGAACGATTTTGAATGATGTTATATTTTCTTTTAATTTTTAAAATGTCATATAACATATACCACATGGCTTCTCGGGCGACTATACCAGAATATTTGCCCCT